CAAGACCTACTTTATTAATGCATGGGTAAATAGCAGCATGGGACTCGGGCTCAGACAACTGGTGGGCTTTTCCTACACAGACTAGCTCAGAGTAAACAAAGGCTACTCCAGCTCTGTTTTGTTACCAATCTGTTTATGATACTTGCAGATTTCATAAAAAGAACATAGAATCATAGAATCATTAAGGTTGGAAGGGACCTCTAGAGATCATCTAGTCCAACCGACCTGCACACGCAGGGTCACCTGGAGCACGTGTTGCACAGATATCATGAAAGGTACATTTTAAAGATAGCAAGTCTTAATTCTAACCCTATGGCCAATATAAAGTCACGTGATCCTACTCAGTTAATTTGAATTACTTCCAAAATGAGCAGGTGTGAAAGAAATTGGAATCTACAGAAAAGCATTTATATGAGATAGTCATATAATAGGTATCTTGGATTCTGCATTATTTGAGAGGATAATTTAAAGATGATGGGACACATAGTCAAGACTTAATTTGACAGGTAGAATTTTTGTAATTTGTGGAGGAGGAGGAGGGAAAAAAAAAAGATCCAACTCATTTCTGAAGCATCTCAGGCTGGGATAGGCTTCCCAGTCATGAGAGAAACATTTCTTATTTAAAAAAATGCAAAATTGATATAGAAATTTTAAAACGCCTTTATTTATTGCTTTGCAGGTTACCATAGCTTTTAAAAAAGTTAAATGCAAGTTCTTTAATAACAGCTATTAACTCCTTGTGTGTATAGCAACCATGGTCTTTGCACTATGCCTGACAAACTGGAGCCTCTCTGCAAATGGGAAGGGTAAAGCAAACAGCTTCTGTTCTCTGCCATCTATTCTGGTTACATCTACACCAAGTAACACTGACGACGTTGGTTTTCCCCTACCCTCACTGTGTATTTGGTTACAAGGAGTATCTGGGATTGTTCCAGGGGCAAATTACTGTCTTTTGCAGAGTGAAGCAAAGAAGGACATGTGGCAAAAGAGGGAAGTGCCTTTTTAAACTGGCTTGCACTTACAGAGAACAGCAGAGGTAAGAAGGTAAAATAAGACTTAGAAAAAAAGTACATTTTATGACACAGAATAGAGGAAGAGAAACAGAGAATTATATTGAGAAATATTTTTTCCAGGTTTGGAATTCAGACTGTGGGATCTGTTTCTTGAGAGATGTTTGGGAATTGATGTCTCAGTTTGCAAACACATTGGTGTGTAAAACTGTGACATGCCCCTCTTCTTTTTTCTGTTGCAAACTGAAGTGTCTAATCCAGGAAAAGGTTTTTTCTTGAAATAAAGTTGAGCCTTGCAGTGCCACAAAAAAGCTGGAGGATCCTCATGCCTTGCTGAAAACTTCATCTCTACATTTTTATATTGTGTTTTGCATAATAGCTTTTTTATCAGCTGGGAATTTCCCTTTCTATATCCATGTCTTTGCAGTGTGTGTACAGGACAATTTATAGATCACCTCTGAACTAGTGTACTTTTTGGCCCTGATTTATTTTATTTCTCTCTTCAGGCCTTTTTTCTCTTTTAATCTTAAATAGGATAAAGGGTAGCAAGCTGGAAAAAACAGAGGTATGTAAGGGTCACATTAACTTTGCTTTAGGCACTTTTGCAGTAGGCAGGTTGGGGGGAAGAGCAGGGGCTGTACCTGCCAAGCTGTTGTGTTCCCCAATGTTGTGTCTTTTTTTTTTGATCTAGAAGAATTTGCTTTATGTAATGCATTAGTCCCAGTCTCAGCATTGAATTCATATTAGTTTTCAGTATATTCCCACTTAAGCACTGTCCGCTTGCTTATAGGATTCCTTGCTTATAGGATATATAGGTCCTAGGTCCACTTGCTTATAGGATATATATGAAACTGTAGTTTATATATAAAACTGCAGTGAGAAGATGAGAAGTAGAAAGTTGGTGAAATACTAAAGCATGATCTTTGACTAATTCTAGCTCTGTTTATCATGGAAATACATAATCTCAGTGAAGCCATCCAAACCTTTCCTTGGGCCCTTCTCAGAAAATTCAAATCCTTTATCTGATTTTTATGCATTAGCTGCCTACTGCTTCTCTATTTACTCCTCATTGTTGCTGTTGCAAAGGGGATAATTAAAACTGTACAGCAAAATAAAATTTTCCAGGAGCAGGATGCAGCTGAATAGGCAGGATGTTAGGTCTCCTCTGACAGCCTATTTGGAATATGTTGAGCTTTGAATTTCAATTTTAAGTGCAGTGAGTATTCTAGATATCTCTGTCCCTTTAGAATATTAAAAGCACAGTTTAATATTTTAGCAAAGTTGGAGATCATTGCTGAAAAAAAGGCAAGATTAGAAAAAAATTGCAGTAAGTATTTGAGGCTCTAATGTAGAAAACATGAGAAGTCGGCTTTTCCCAGAAGGATTCCTGAAAAACGGCAAAATTCTAGTTACTGAAATGAATAATGTACTAAAAAATGAATCCACAGTCAAACTACAGTAACCTTTACTGCTAGTCCTCACTGAGGACTTTTAAGAGACTCATAAGACTCCCTGCCTATTCCACAGTGCTACTGATATCTGTAACAAGCTTCTTGTGGCCTCTGGATGTGTAGTGCTCAGCTGAGCTGGGAGCATGGGAGAAATATGTTCTGCGAGACACTGAAGAAGCAAAGGCTGCAGCTTTATAAACATTTTAAGCTGGCACTGCTGCAGAAGCAGCAACCCGACCCAGCTACCCACTCTTAGCTGCTCATTCCTACTCCGATCTATCTATCCTTCCTTTTCTCTCTTTTTTTTTTTTTACTTCTTTTGTTTGTTTGTTTGTCTTGATTAAGGTAGCTACACACGGAAATGCATTTCAGAATTATCCAGGTTGAGCCTCCTCGCCACCCCACAGTTAGTTTTAAGCTGCATCCGTTTAGTGGGTATCTGCCCAAGCACCTATAGCAGCATAGGGACAGAGTGGGAATGAGTGCCTGGGAACTGGGGAGAGGAAAGCAAGGCAGAAAAGCTGGGCTGCAATACTGCCTTAAACTGACTTGAAGCATTTCTGAAACTGTAATCTAAAGGTCTTTCCCCTTTCACTGGCATTAATACTCTGAGACAACACAAGAAGAGCAAAATGCAATTTTATTGTTATCTGCTGTTTTGACTCTATGTGAAAATCTAGGAAGGTGTTTGCAAATAACTCCACAGAAGGTAATCATTGTCCAAGAGCCTAATCTCTCTGTAGAGCCAGTGGAAAGACAGGATCCTCTTGAGGGCAAGTCGGTACAAACCTGATTTAGCCTGGGAGATCAGGGAGGCTGCGCTAAAGTTAGCCTTTGCAAACACCTTCCCCCTCCTCCTTGTGCTGAAACAAGCCTGATACCAGAGCAGGTCTCTATTTCTTCTCACAAAACAGCAGATGTTTGAATTAATTTCCTTTTTTTTTTTTTTCTTTTTCAATTTATTGGAGACTGTACCATCAAACCTGAACAAAATGTTCAGCTCCAAGTCTGCCCTGCATGGATGTGAAAAATGCAAGGACAATTACAAGCCCAGTTTCTCTTTCTGGTTAGCTGAGAATACTACTGAGGTAAACAGGAAATAAGCACCAGAAAGATAAAGGGGAGAGGAAAACTAAATTCTAGGTAAATATCTGTAATAATATCTA